AGCCAATGGATGCCCCCGCTGGGCTTGCGCCGCCCTCCGCCCCTCCCGCCCACGCAGCTGCGTGGGGGCGTGGTCGGCCAGCCGGAAGCTGGGCGTGGACGGTGGCCCCCTGGGGACAAGCGCCGTAAAACTCTCCCGTCCAGCAGCCTAGTTTTGACTCAGTCTCTGTGAACCGTAGTCATTTGCCCTAAAAAAGTATGGGTCCAGGCGTTGTGAGGCTGCGCACAGCGCCATGACGTTAAAGAACAAAAACCAAAACAACAACAACAACAAAGAAGCCGGGCGGCGGTGGCCCACGCCTTTAACCCCAGCACTCTGGAGGCGGAGCCCGGAGGATCTCTGTGAGTTCGAGGTCAACCTGGCGCACGCCTTTAACCCCAGCACTCTGGAGGCGGAGCCCGGAGGATCTCTGTGAGTTCGAGGTCAACCTGGCGCACGCCTTTAATCCCAGCACTCGGGAGGCAGAGGCAGGCAGGTATCTGTGAGTTCGAGGCCAGCCTGGGCTATAGAGTGAGTTCCAGGACAGCCAGGGCTACGCAGAGAAACCCTGTCTCGAAAAAAGGAAGGAGTGGGATAAGGATGGATCTCCCCTTGGTAGGCTTGCCTAGTGAATAAACCTGGAATGGCTCACCTGGCGTGGGGAACAGTGAGTGCGAACCCAAGGAAGCAGGAAACAACGCGTCGCTTGAGGAAGGGGAGTAGCCTTTGAGCTATGATGCTGGAGAGGTAGCCGGGGTAGAGGGATGTGTAGGGAGAGGGTGCTTGCAGAACCTAGAAGTATGTGCGTATGTGCATGGGTCTGTAGATGAGGCTGGCGGGGAACTCCAAAGAGATCCGCCTCCCTGTGGGACTCAAGTTGTGAGCCCTCACGCCCGGCCACAAGAGGCTTTTCTTAAAGCTCATTGTTTACACCAGGAATGATTGAACTGTGCCATTCAATTAGGGGTCCCTCTTAATAAACAAAGAAACAGCACCTTATAGCCCAGCTTCCGGTCATACTTTGTACTAGCGACTTTTGGTAATTACACAACACTTGATTAACTTTGTATCATTTTGTTACTGTTAGCATGATAGGTTTCTTCCCATCTTTTTTTTTTAATAATGAACTTTTATTTTAGAATAAATTTGGGTTTACAGAAAAAAAAAGTTGCAAAGATAATACGGGAGTTGGGGCATAGTATGCCCAGTTTCCCCTATTGCTACCACCTCGGATTCACCATGGTTTATTTGTTAAAAGTAATAAAACTGACTGATGTTGCTTTAATACTCTGAACTAAGCCGCAGACTTTACTTAGACTTCGATACTTTTCTAATTAATGTTTTCTGCGTGCCAGAGTGTAACCCAGAGCATCATGCTGCGTTTATTTTGCTTTCTACCTGTCCTGTCAGAGCTGACGTGTCTAGATTGAAGATACCCATTTGCCTGACGATGCAACTGAGGTTCAAGGAGTCAGATAACTTGCCCACATCAGCACAGTGGTGCCAGGACTGGGCCCAGAGGTATCCACCCACTGTGAGAGGCCCTTTAAGGGTATATGTCCCTTGGTGTTTGTGCATCCTACTGCCACTGTTTGTCACACCCAACTTGAGGATCCTGCTCTACCGGCTTCCCCTACAGAGCTGCTGCTGGTCTTCCAGAGAGTGCTACTTCTCTTTCCCTTTTGTGGACTTTTTGTCTCCAGCATTTAACTAAGCCACATGGTGCCTGGACAGAGGGCTCTTCACACACATTTTTAGTTGCTTGTTGTCTTTTTCTGGAACCCCGTTCCTCGAAGGATCACCAGGTGGAGGTATAGTTTTCATTCTTTCACATATGAACAGGTTTTTCTTTTTTTTTTCACATAACTAGGGATTCATAGCCTCTGGGCAGCATATTTTGAGCACCTCTTCCTCGGCTTCTAGACCAGCACCAGACAGCACCCCACTTTAATGTCACAATAAGTAAGTACTAGGCTGGGGAGTAGCACATCGTGCTTGGAAATCATTAGAATTTGAACAGCTTTATGAGTTTGTCGTGGGGTTTTTGTTTTTTCCTCTGTTCATCTCAGTTGCTTACTTTTAAATTGAGTTGTCTTTCTGTTAAATAAATAGAAGATTCTGTGGGTTATTTGTCATATGTGCTGCCTTTTTTTATAAAAGAGAACTACATAGGCGTTACTCCCCAGATAATAAATTTCCCTTTTTACTCTGCCATGTTTGTTTTTACTTCATGGCTCATAGGCTGCTTTATCTTTTCCTGTCTAGATTTAATCTTCTTTCCGGTCTCCCCTTCTACATCACCCTGGCCGCACTCCATACAGATATTCTACTTTCTCTTTGAACAGTTCTGCCCCTTGACTGGCACACACGTAGGTTTTCTGACATCTTGTGCTGGATTTGAGCCGCCAGGAAGCGAGTTGATTCCACACCGTCCCGAAACCCACCAGGCCTTGTACATTCCACGCGACTGGAAGCTCGACTTGTTTCCTGTGGGTACATGCACGTTTAGATCTAATGCTAGGTTTGTTCTCTTCCTGGGATCTGCCTCTTCCATTGTCAGGATACGCACGTGACTTTCAGAACCAGAGCGGTGCTGAGCCTGGACAAGAGGAGAGTTGCCTTTCAACCACCAGGGAAGGGGCTCTCCCTAGCCCAGTCAGGATTTCCTCTCCCAGGAGGGAAGAAATAAGAAGGACCTAGCTACTTGTAAAATAGTCTTCCCTTTTATTTCAAATCAACCCTCTGCCAAGTTAGTGCCATAAGGTGAGATCACTAGGCGATGAGCAGAGACATCCTTCTACCCGCCGCCGCCGCCAGCTTAGTCCCTCCAAGGACAATACTGGCAGCCAGCCAGAGGTGAGGGACACCCGGCTGTAGGTCAGCCCCCTTCCCAGTCGGCCCTGGTCACTGCTCTGCCACCTCAGCAGTCAGTCCCCTGTGTGAAGGACAAACAGGGATGGAGAAAGGCTGGGGCCAGAGCAGAATGTCATCCTATGTGAGGTGTCCGTGGCCAGCAGTGTTAGTGGTCAGAACCCAGTCAGGGTCAGGTTAGTGGGGCCTTCTCCAGCAGCCAGGAGTGGAGCTGGAGAGAGAGAGAGAGAGAAGGAGCTGGCACAGGCAGAAGACACTCCCGTCGACACCCACCCAGCATCAGAGTACCCATAAGCCAAGGCCCAGCAGAACACCAAGGTGCCGCCAAAGCTTACCGAAGAGGAGAGGCAGGCTCCAGGCTGGAGGGGAGGCTCAGATGGAAGACTGCCACTGCACAAAGCGCTTGGATTCCTGGCAGGATAACAGGGAGAAGATGTGAAGTGAGCATCTGTCATTTACTGTGGGGCCCCTCCCTCCTCCTCCTCCCTCAGGCCCAGAGGCCCCGCCCCCAGCGCTCCCCCCTCAGACCAGGGTCTGTACCTGAGGGTTGAAAGGGTCGTCGTCATCTGTGTCATCGTAGTCATCACTGAAGTGCGATGTGGGGAGGAGCAGAGAAGCAGGATGGGAAGAACCCATCAGGAGGCTGCCCCATCCCCACCAGTGGCCCTGGGTCCTGCCTCCTGTCCCCTCCCTGGGGACCCTGCCCTCTCTCCCCTGCTGACCTGGGCGGGAAGAGGGCCCAGGCACGGGGCAGGCTGCAAAGGGTGGTGGCCAGGGCCCCCGCAGACAGGAGCGAGAAGAGCATCAGGAACAGCAGGCCCTCCAGGGCATCTTCACACAGACCTCGGAGTGCCGAGCCGTAGTCCTGAGGCAGAGGGTAAGCCTCAGAGTGTGCACGTGTGCACTCTGCACCCAGCTGTCCGCGGGTCCAACCATCCATTTACCTGGCACTGCATGAGTCAGTCACCCAGACTCTGTGCCTGAGTGCAGTCTCCCATCAGAGAACTGTTTGGAACGTGGATGGTCATCCCATGTGTTCACCTATTTGCTGAGCTATAGCCTCACAACCTATTCCTATTTTATCCCATGCCTCCACCCCCCACCCCCCACCCCCATGCGAAGTGGTCTAGCATCATCACTCAGCACCCAGAGAGCTCTCCCAGGAACCTAGGTGGGCGGGCCTCTACACTGATACCGCCCACCAGCACCAGCCCTGCCTGTCCTTGCTCCAGCCAGGGGCTACTGATCTATGAGGATGCCAGCACCCTTTCCTGCAGTTGGGAAAGCCACACCCCCCACACCTTGTCAAGTGCCCCTGGGAACCCACAAATCGCTGGCTTATGTAACACTTAGGATTGGACAGGGCACACGGAACACATGCAGAAGAGGCTGGCTGCTGTGACCACCACCTCAAGGCCCTGTAGCACGGCCACCATGCCGGTTCATTCTGCAGGAATGGACTAAGCCACCTCTGCTCCAGGCAATGTCCCCAGCACTGGCAACCGTCAGTACACGGGACCAAGGAGGCCACTTCGGAGGCTGGGAAGCTGGCAGGACAGTAAGATGTTAGGACAGTGCCCACAGAGGCCATCTGAGAAGGGAACAAGGAGTTGGGCAGATGGGTAGGTCTAGACTGAGGCAGGCGGCTGGGCTGATGTGGAAGACAAGGGTAGAAACACCAAGGCTGAGGCCACAGAGCTTTGGGTAGGACTGTCGTCTACACAGGCTCTTCTAGGTCAGTGCCAGGAGCCCTGGCTTTAATCCATGTGCAGGGGGGATTCACGCAAGGGTTTTTAGAGGAAGACTCTGATCCGATTGTGTTTGAAAGGATCACCAGCTGTCATTGGACAGATGGACTGAGCAAGACTGGCATGCAAGAGGCTGTGGTCTTGGGCAGGCACTAAGGAGGGCCAGGGTCTGCAGCTGTGGTGGCTGTGTGAGCAGCAGATGCAGTGGGAAGTGAGGACGGGGAGCTAGAAGGACAGTCCCGACGTCCTAGTTGAAGGGCTAGGGTTAAGGAGCCCACCAGGACACTAACTAGTTAGGTTTGCAACAGTTGGCACACACATACTATGCCCACACATCCTTGCAACAGCCCCAGGTCATGCTGTCTTTGGCTGTCACGGAAAGCAAGCTGAGCCCAGAGAGTGGGCAATCTCCTTGTACACAGTCATACAGCCTACAAGGTACAGAGCTGAATCTGGAACCAAGTCTCTCATTTAGACAGGGTCTCTCCCTATAGGCCTGGCTGGCCTAGAACTCACTTTGTAGACCAGGCTGGCCTCAAATTCACAGAGATCCACCTGCCTTGGCCTCGGCCTCTGGAAGGGCTGGGATGAAAGGTGTGCACCACCACCACCACCACCACCCCCAGCCAGTTCTTTCTCATCCTAATGTTTCTTGTCCCTATTTTATTTGTGTGTGTGTGTGTGTGTGCGTGTATGTGTGTGTGTGTGTGTGTACGTGTACAAGTGGGTAGGGTGTTTGGATGCCTGTGCATGTGGGGTGGGGGCAAAGATTAAAGTTCAAATACATTTTGGGTTTGTTTGTTTGTTTGTTTGTTTTTGTTTTTCCAGACAGAGTTTCTTTATGTAGACCTGGCTGTCCTAGAACTCATTTTATAGACCAGGCTGGTCTCAAACTCAGAGATCTGCCTGGCTCTGCCTCCCAAGTGCTGGGATTAAAGGCATAAGCAACCAACAAGGTGTTGTTTGTTTTTGAGACAGGCTCTCTCACTTGGACCTGGCGCTCACCAACCGGGCTAGGCTCGCTGGCCAGGAGGCTCCACATAGCCACATGTCTCTGCCTCCTCAGTGCTGGGATTTTAAACCAGCACCACATGGCCTGCTTTTTCCATGGTTTCTGGGGATCAAACTCAGGTTTTTATGATTGTGTGACAAGATAGAGGGAGCAATGTTCTCGGTCCTGTCCCTAATTTTAGTATGTGGCTTAAAAAAAAAAAAAAAAGCCTAGATGGGAAACCAAGGCCCAGAGTCACATGGCTTATTGATGGTGGGCAAAGACTCCGACTCCTCATCTCTCCCTTCACAGTCATCGTGGAACCAGTGTTGGAGCTCAGCATCTGCATGAATCATAAAACAGGGTTGGGGTCCCAGCATGCCATTGTATAAAAAAGCAAGGACCTGGGCTGGAGAGATGGCTCAGAGTTTAAGAGCACCGACTGCTCTTCCAGAGGTCCTGAGTTCAATTCCCAGCAACCACATGGTGGCTCACAACCATCTGTAATGAGATCTGGTGCCCTCTTCTGGTGTGCAGACACACATGCAAACAGAATACTGTATACATAATAAATAAATACATCTTTAAAAATAAATTAAATAAATAAATAAAGCAAGGACCCTTCCCTGGCCCTTCTCGGATACCTACTCAGTGCCCCATTGCTCACTTTTTGGTACCTGCCCCCTGGGACAGGATACCACATTAATTTCAGACTTTGGATACCCAGCAAACAGTGCTTTGGGACAAGGACCTCCCAGGTGTTGCTAGGGGCTCCTTGTAGAAAGGAATCTCTCTGCTGAATCTGTATGCTAACTCCAAGGTAGACAGATAACCAGAAGGTGGTGAAGAAGCATCTGTCCTGAAGATCTGATCCGCAGTGAGCCCTTGGGTGGTGGATGGGTCAAAATGTTTCAAAAGCAGGAGGGGACAGACTGGCCATGCTTGGAAGTGTAGCTCAGTACCCTTCCATGAGCTCCTTGCCCTCTGGGCCGACCACTCAATTGTCTTCTCCTAATCTAATAATAGTCCCTGCTGGGTCTGGAAGATCTTGCCATACCAGCTAGTGGGGAGGCTGAACCCAGGAGATTGGGGAATCCAAGCCTATCTGGGTAATTTAATGAGACTCTGCCTCAAAATGAAAAATACCTTTTAAAAAGACTGGAGGCTGGGGACTCAGCTAGGTTGAGGGAGAGCTGGCTTGAAATGCATGAAGCCTTGAGTTCCATTCTCAGTACTTCATAAGGTGTGCGATGGCACACACCTGTAATCTCAGCACCAAGGAGGGCAAAAAGATCAAAACTTTGGGTCATCCTCTGCTATAACAGCTAGTCTGAAGCAATCCTGGGCTACATGAAACCCTACACACACACACACACACACATACACACATACACACGGTGACATTGTGTGCCCCAATATATTGTGAACACTAATAAACTTATCTGGGGTCAGAGAACAGAACAGCCACTAGATATAGAGGCCAGAAAATGGTGGCACACACACTTTTAATCCTAGCATTCCAAAGGCAGAGATCCATCTGGATCTCTGTGAGTTAAAAGCCACACTGGAAACAGCCAGGCATGGTGACTCATGCCTTTAATCCCAGGAAGTGATGGCAGGAGGCAGAAAGGTATATAAGGTGTGAGGACCAGGAACTAGAGCCTGGTTAAGCTTTAAGGCTTTTAGCAGCAGTTCAGCTGAGATCCACTTGGATGAGAACTCAGAGGCTTCCAGTTTGAGGAAACAGGATCAGCTGAGGAATTGGTAAGGTGAGGTAGCTGTGGCTTGTTCTGCTTCTCTGATCTTCCAGCATTCACCCCAGTACCTGGCATCTGAGTTTGTTTTTAATAGTAAGACCTTTTAAGATTCGTGCTACACACACATCAATAGTAGACTGCTCGTCTAATAGGCTGGACTATCGGAGTTCAATCCCCCAGTACTATAAAAGAAAAAACTGATCCTGGTCTTGGCATGGGGGCCAGTGACCAGTGAACCCCATAGAGTCAGGATCATGGCAAAGCCTGTGTGCATGGAGGGTGAAACCCTACACACACACACACACACACACACACACACACACACACACACACACACACACATACTGTGGGAGACTGTGAGCAAGGAAAGAAGTTAGGTCTATTTAGAACAACTCGATGTTGTAAGGGTGAGAGTCTTTGCAGTGGTCACGATTGTTCCCTCAAAGGTGTAAAGGTGGGGAAATGGAGACTCAGAGATACTGGCCGGCCCTTGAGGCCACACAGCTCACAGCTGAGCCCATGGTGGGCCTTGGACAGGCAGCCCGGCCCCGGCCCCTTGCACATGGAGAGGTCCATGAACTAGCATTCAACCCTGGGAACTGGGAGCCTGCCCAGGCTCTCATTCCAGGGCTTAAGAGGCTGAGCAGCTTTCAAGGAGGAGGAGAGAAGGTGAAAGATGAAAAACATGGGAGGAGGGAGAGAGGATGAGAAAGAGAGAGCAGCAGCAGAGGGGAGGGAGAGGAGAGGAGAGGAAAGGGGAGGGAGAAACAGACAGCGGGCAGGCCGGCAAGCACACAGGAGCGCACCTTGTGCAGACTGCGGCAGTGCAACAGCGCCACCAACTGGTGGAAGCTTCCCTCTGTCACATTCAGCGTCTCCTCCAAGGATAACAAGGGCTTCTGTTGTGGGAGGGAACGAACACAGTTACACAGTCCTTTTGCTACACCGCAAAGTACGCCCTGCCCTCAACTCAGGAGCCCCACTTCCCAAAGGGACCATCTCCTCTCTCCCCTTTACAGATGTTCAGCAGCACCCCAGAGCCTCCCTCACCTCCACGGCGACCCAAGCCCCAAGAGACCAGTCAGCTTCGGTTGCCTCCACTCCTTCCTGAAGGCTCTGGCCCAGAGACCTGCTCAGCTCTGTTGCCCCGCCCCTTTCCATAGACTTTACACACAACAGGAGACCCTGCCTACTTGGAGAAGGGCCAGCTCCACGTGCCCTCTCTCCCCTCGGGCTGGTACGGTCCATTGACCTAACCTGTGCTGCAGGAAACTGAGGCACAGCTTCCCGCTCCAGGCCCTGCAGCTGGGAGTGGATGCTGGCTAGAGCTCGCTGGGACAGAGTCAGCCTCTGCAGGGAGATAAGAGAGAGGAGCACTCAGGTCAGGGTATCCGTGATGCCATCTGTCCAGTAGAATACACAACTCTGGGCCACGGCACCCTCCACCTCCCATGGAACCCAGGAGTACAGCCCATCATATGCCCTTGAGGCTTCACGTTAGCCATCTCCTCAATTCCCATTTCTTTTGCCCACAGTCCTAACCTGTTGGAAGGGGTTGGAGACCGCCTGGTTGCACAGGAAATAATAGTTGAGGATGTCTGAAGTGGAGGGAGAGAAAGGAGCAGGCTATGAGCCTGAGCCCAGGCTCTCCCTGGGCACATCTGGAGGGCCATAGCCCAGGGGACATTCCCCACCCAGTTTGGAACTTTCTTGGGGTCTCAAAGACCTGCTAGTCACTCTCCTATCTGTTCCTTTTCCTCCCTTCTCCCTCCCTCCTCTTCCCCCTCCTTCCTTCCCTCCCTTCTCCCCTTCTTTTCCTTCCCTCCCCTTACTCTCCCCCTTCCTTCCATTCTCTCCCCTTCCCCGCTTTCCTTTCCTTCCCTCCTCCTCTTCTTCCTTCGTGTGTTGTTGTTCAGTTTGCTGCTGTTGTTTTGAGACAAGAGTCATGCAGCCCAAACCAGCCTTGAACTTGCTATGTAGCTGGGGACCACCTTGAACTTCTGATCTTTCTTCCTGCACTTCCTGAGCGCTGAGATTTTAGGCACAAGCCACTGTGCTAAGCTTTATGTGTTGCTGGGAATCAAACGTAAAGCTTTGGGCATGCAAGGCAAGTACTCTACCAACTGAGCAACGTCTCCAATTCCATTCTGGTTTTGTTTTGTTTTAAAACAGGGTGCAGCAAGGTCCACATAGCTCAGGCTGCCCTTGAACTTATGCCTCAGCCTCCTAATTGCTGGGATTATAGGTGGGCAATATCACACCCCATGCTTTCATCCCTTCTGCTGTGAAGTGACCTTCTGCTGTGGGTCACCACATCTGGAAGCAGATTCAACTGACCTAATTATGCTTCCTTGTTCTCCTGTTGGGGTCCACAGAGGTTTCCTAGTGAGATCTAAGCTTGCTTTACACAGCAGGACTGCATTAGGGGATGGCTTGACCACATGCATGATCACTAGGTATTTGGAAGGGTCTGCACTTGGCTGTGCTGGGGGGGAGGTCTTTTGCTCCACCCCTTGGCATTTCTATAAACAGCCTTTTAGAAGAGAAAGGAGGGGCTGGTGGGTTTTGACCCAGGCCCTCCTGAGCTATCCTGTGTTTCTATCTCTCTCTCTCTCTCCTCTATATTTCTAAGTATTTCTCACTTCCCCTGCTCAAGAGTACCCTAGGGGAAAAAGTGGGGGCAGGTCCCCCACAGTCCCATCCTCCTATCACTGAGGCCCATGGCCTCCTCTCCCTCCCCTCACACTCACAGGTATTTGCTCCTGCCCTTTTACCATCCTGCCGGGATTGGTAGATGGTTCTGCGCTCTACCACAGACTAGGCACTAGTGGGTGGCAGGGAGCATTGAGGGCAGCAGGGATTTATGGGAATCACCTAAGCTGAGCCCTGTCTCCTCCTGGGTCAGGTTCAGCACGTAGGTGTCTGGGTTGGAGCAGAAGTCACTGAGGCCCTGGTGAAGGAAGCAGGAAGGGATCAGACCAGAAATGTCCAATTCCATATTTTCACAGAACTCAGAGGTCCAGGCTCCAATTCTCCTCCCCCCTCAAACCCAGGGGTCCAGACTCTAGCCCTCCTCAGACTGAGGAGTCTAGTCCAGACCCCAGCCTCTGCTCTCTCAGGACCTAGCACATAAGGCTGGAACCTCCGAACGGTGATCACGTCTCCCAAGCCTTAGGATTTATGGCATGAATTAGGTAGCAACCACCCCAGGATTCAGAACACCCGAATCCAGAGCCCCCTACTTACCACAGCTGTGGCGGCCTCCAGGCCCATAGAACCCCAGCTCAGGACAAGCACCAGGAGACTCATGGCGGTCATCCTAGAGGGGGAGGCAGCTGGACTCAGGTCTCTTAATCAGCCTTGCCTCTTTCTACACCCCACGTCCAATCACAGCCCTCCCCAGTACCCACCAACCTCTGTAGCCTAGCGGATTAGAGGCAGAGGCATGGGGAGTAAAGGGTGGGGTAAGGCCCAGACTGACGTCAGACAGAACATCTGTTCAGTGGGAAAAGGAGAGGGGAAGGTCTTGGTTGGCAGGTCAGCAGCCATTATCCCAGCTGTTCCTGGCCCCTAGGAGGCAGCTGTCCACCCATGGGCTGAATTTCCTGGGATGTTATTGTGCAGGGTCCAGTAGGCTCAGAGCTAGCTCCCAGGACCGTCCACGGCCCATTTTATTTAGCGATCTTCTCTCCACTCTCTCAACCTCTAAGCCGCAAGGCGCGGGGAGTGTTCCAGAGTTGATTTCTGAAATTCTGAGCTTAGCTTATTTAAGTCTTGACGTATGTCCGGGGTTGTGAGGGGTAAGATAATTCTGCGTCATGGAGTGGTAGGGGAGGTTGACAGCTGTTGTAAACTGGAAGACCTGGCCCCCAGTCCCAGACTTGCTCAACACAGTGTGTTCTACCAGTCTCCAAGCCTTGATGAGGGCTTAGACGCAGCCGTTGGGCATCTCTCCCAGGAGGAGTCCACAGACAGTAGGCACCAAGGAAGGAGGAGGAGGAGGAGGAGGGTGGGCTCTTCCCATGATGGGCAGGCTGGACTTGAGCCCTACCACAGTACATCCTGACTGCTGTGTGGCCCTGACCTAGCCACAGTGGCCTTCCACCACCTCCCACTGTTACACAGAGGTCAGCGCCTACCTCCCTGGGAGGCTGAATGTGAGAGTTCCATGAAGTCCTAAGAATGGTATCTGGCACACAGAGAGCTGTTCAGTAAGAACCCGGGTCCTAGGTGTCCCCCCATTACCTCATGTCCCTCACCTGCCATATAGAGAACCTGGTGGCACTCCCTCCATGCGTTTGTTGTGGTAACCAAGGGAGGAAGCTTCTGGCATGCCGCCCTACCCCCACCCGACCCACCCCAGCCTACAGCAAACGCAAGCTTGGTTTCGGCCATGACTTTAGCAATGTTGCCTGCCGGAAACCCGCCCACCCCCCTCCCCTGTGCCATACGGCTCTACTCACACAACCACCAGCCACTTGCTCTGCTTCGCCAGGCCCAGGAGGGTGAAGAGACAAACCAGAAGCACCAAGAGCAGCAGGAGGACGTAGGCCAGCCACCTGCAGGAAGAAGGGCCGAGGCCGTGGACCTCAGGAGGCCTGCAGGACCTCGGGGCCACCCCAGCCTGGTCCTGCAGCCTCTCCACTGCTCCGTGAAGTTCACTGGTGAAACGGTGCATGACTCACAAGACGCTGGAGTGCTCTGCAGCATAGGTTCTGGAGTTGAAGCTCCTGGGACCTCCCCTGACCAAATCACACAGAAGTCCTGTGGTCGAGGACACGGGCAGTGGCCTCTCTGACTGGGATCCTTGAGCCAGGACTATAGCGTGTCAGTTACCTGGGACCTTATTGCACACTTCAGAGCTATGATGTCTAGGTCTCAATTACTCATTTAGCCATGTAACCTATTTGCCTCAGTTTCCCTACTAGCAACCTGAGCAGCCTATCAGGATCAACTTCACAATCTGTGATCGGGTGAATGAATGGGCACATGTAAAGGTCTTAGGAGAGTGGGCTTGTGGGTGAAGTCAATGTTAGCTAAATCACCATCCAGGGGAGGCTTTGAATGCTCCATACCAGGTCATTAAATAAGTAACACACCAGGACTGCAGAGGGAGATGCATGGAGGGCCCAAACTCAGCGCTGGGCATGTTGCAAATGCTCAATAAAGCGCCGTTTCTCAGCAGTCCCCGTGTGACTGTGGTTTGCACTCTCTGCAACCTTGCCTCTGGCCATGCCTCCATGCATGGCCCCAGTGCATTTGCTGGGCCTCTCTAATACCAGACACGTTCACGGAGCACCTGCTGAGCATCATTTTCACCGTCACCTCCACTTCCCCGACCAGACTCTTGGGATCCTAGGTTTGACCGTGACATAGGACCTGTGGCCCTTGGACCTGGGCCTGACTGCCTCCCAGTGTTTGATCCCCAGCCTGCACCCTCTGCTGGGATCGTTTCAGCCCCAGTATGATCGTACCAAGGAGCCCGGCCTCCCTGCTTGGGAACAGGGGACTCAGGGTTGTCAGCTGAAGGCAAGAAGTAATGAAATAACTACAAGAGGATGGGTCAAGCTTGGTCTTGCTGGCTGCTGAGATGGATGGCTGCCTCGGAGGGCTTCACAGCTTGTTCTTCCCCTCCAGTGTCGCCTTTCAGCATGGCCCTTCCAAACACGCGGACATCAACTGCCTGCCTGTCCCCAGACAATCCCCTTCTCATGACCCACCTCCCAGGAAATGTGTTTGCTCTTTAAACATGTTTTTATTTTATATGGATGAGTGTTTTGCCTACATGCATGTGCGTCTACCTGGTGTCTGCAGAGGTCAGAAGAGGGTGTTGGATCCCGGGGAACTGGAGTTACAGATGGCTGTGAGCTGCCATGGGAGTGCTGGGAACCGAACCTGGGTCCTCTATAAGAGCAGCAAGTGCCCTTAACCACTGAACCATCCCTCTAGTCACCCCCGCCTCCGCCCCGAGACCTATTGATGCCTCTGTGAACATAAAACCTCACACATGCTAGGCAGGCAACTCTAACCAAGTCATGTTTCCCAGCCCCTCAGGACTGGATTCTAGGTAAATGTTCCACCAGAGCCACAAAAACAGCCCCTCATTGGGGAATTCTAGGCATGGACTCTACCACCGGAGCTTTATTCCCTATCTCCTCACGGGGGGATTACAGGCAGGGGCTCTACCACTGAGTCACACCCCCAGCCCCTCACAGGGAGATCTAGGCAGGTGTTTTACCACGGAGTCACACTCTCAGTCCTTCACCAGTCAATTCTAGGCAAATATTCTTCCGTTATCCATGGCCTCAGCCTTGTTTTGACTCTGGTTTGAAACAATGTCTCACTGAGTTATTCAGACTGGCCTTGAAATTACTCGGCAGCCCAAGCAGGCCTTGAGTTTTCAACCCTTTTAGCTCAGCCTCCAGAGCAGTTGAGATTACAGGCCTGCTTCCCATTGCTCTCCTGGCTGAGGAGAGTCCTTCCTGGGTGGGATTTCCTGTGTCGTTCCTCTGCTTGGCATATCTGCACTTGACTATTTCATCGGTCACCATGTGTTCTTTGTTTCAGACACTCAAGGTTATCAACTAACTTTCCACAGGGCATTTTGAGTTATGCATGAAAGGACTCACTTTAAGGTGGGAAAACCAAGGCCAAGACATGGCAAGAAACCTGTTTAAGCATGTACGTATACAGAGTGGCCTCTTAAATCTTAATCATATCACCGTCTCTCTCCAGTGTTAAGTAGTTGCACAGTGAACACAGTACAGTGAACACAGTTGCCTCCCAGATAATCTAATTTTAGATAAGTCTAAGGTTTGCTACTTGATTAGTCCAGTTACTACTATGTGTGTGTTATGTGATTGATGTGCTGGATGAATGAGTCAAGGAACAGCTGAGTGAGTGAATGAATGAGAGATCATTGAGGGGATATGTAACTATGAGGCTGGGCCCTCAATCTCTGGACCCATCCACAGAGCTGGGTCTATCAGCCTGGTCTTATATTCACAACTGGGTAATTCTCCATAGTGGGGCTGGCCTATAGGATGCTGAATAGCATCCCTGCCTCCACCTACCAAGTGACAGTAGCTTCTCTTCCAACCAGTGGGACAAATAAAACTGTCTCCAGATACTGTCCCTGTCTCCAGATACTGTCCCCCCACCCCACACACACCCCAGGGCCTAGTTTGAGGCTATGATGCTTAAAACAATAGGGGAGTCCTTTCCCTACCTGTACTCCTCCACGAAAGTCACATCTTCAGCCACCTGCACCGGGCTGAGGGACACTCCTTGCCAGAAGGCCAGTCCTTGCAGGTGCTGAGCCGCAGCCTCTGCCTGCCTCCGGGCTCCCCACGTGGCGGCCACCAGCTCCACGCGTTCTGACAGTACTTCCTCCAGGGTGGTCAGCTCCGTCCTTACTGCCTCACCCAGCCTCTCCACTGTTTCCAGCACCTGGGGAGAGGACATGGGTCTCAGGCCCGGGGTAACCTTTTCCACAGCCTGGGGTGGAGGCTAAAGGATGGGGTCTGGGGGGCGGGGGTGAAGCAGGGATGAGAAGTGTGAGCTGCCAGAGATCTGGGGTTCTGGGGCATCTGAAGACTGGGGCAAGGGGCTCCCAGGTCCTGTCATCTGCTCTAGCTGGTCAGGGGCTTGAGGACAAGGTAAAGATTCTAACCCCAGCATTGAAGTTAAGTCAAAATGGAAGAGTGAGTCTTAAGTCTGAAGTCTGCGTCTGCCTTTTTGAGTCTGGGGTCTCAAATCTGATTCCTTGGCTCTCCACAAGTAGGCACCAAACTGCAACACCCGCATCTCAGCCCTGAGCTCTGGAATCCTGGGGTACAAGATCTCCTGTGGTGGGGTGGGGTTTGGGGTCCCTGAGCTTGCATTTGGGCCAAGTGTAGGGTCTGTAGCCTTGGATCTGGCCTGGAGACGGGGACTGGTGTCCTTGGTGTTTTGTCTCTGGCTTGGGATATAAACTGAAGTGCAGGCCTGGGCCTGGATCAGAGTCTTCACCCTCTGTGTCTGAATCTTCTAGATTCCAGCTCCAGGTGTCAGGGTTGGGATTGAACATAGGGCTTAAGGTCTGCAGGTCTGAGTTTGAAGTTCTGCATGTGGGGATTAGGTTTCTGGTCTGGAATCTGCTTTGATTTGGGCTCCTTTTGTTCCTCAGCGGGGGACACCACGATCCCATGGGGACACCAACTGGGGCATGAGTCTGCGGTCTGGCCAGTGGCCGGCCCCCTCACCAAGTCATCAATGGTGCTGAGCGTGTGGTTGGCATGCAGCAGCGCTGAGCTGAGCTGGGACACCCCGTCGCTGGTCTCGCTGTTGCCATAGAAACCAATGCCAATGCCCGCACTGAGAGAAGGAGGAAGAAGAAACACCGACCCGTCTCAGACCCTGGAGGGCAGGCACCATGCCTCTACGCGGCGGCACCCACCCACCCTCCCCTTTGCTTCCTTTGCCCATCCAGTCTCTGCATCCACCCTATTGGTTCGTCCTCCGTGGGAAAAAAGAACAGCTCAAGGTTGGCCTCCACCAGTTGCCAAGGTAACCTGCAGACCTCACTCCCCCAGCTGGAGAGACGTCATTGTGATGCTAATGGTGGGTGGAGTGGTGGAAAAGAAGGAGCCCCCGCCCCCAGATTTAACTCGCACCACCCCAGAATGGGACCCTGGTTTCTGCCTAGCCCTGGACAAAAGGTTATCAGTTCCTAATCATGATCAGCTCACAACCCACTCCTGCATCCTTTGCCAAAACATCCCGCATTCACAGCCTTGTCTTAGGAGTCTTTAGGCCATCCACACCTGTCTCTCCCTAGCCCAGGTGGCCCTTGCCCCTGCCTCCTCAGGGTGCTTAGGAGCACAAGGTCCCTAGCCCTTATTCTTTTGTAAAAGACATTGTGCCTGGAGCTCTCAGGCTTCCCCTATGCTGCCCAGGGATCCAGGCATTTGGCCAGCTGGAAGAGGAGTAAGAGAATGTGGGAGGGAGGGCTGGAGGCCAGGCCAGGAGCTGGGCCCCTGTCCCTGCCCAGCCAACACACAGACTGCCATTGTGGAGCTTGAATATGGGGACCCACTTTCCTCCCCGAGTCTGTGCCTCGCACTGGAGGGGGCGAGAGCCTGATGCCCTCACAGTTCCCAGCCTCGGGCTAAACAGGCCCCCACCCCACCCCTTGGATGGGAGCCTACTGCCCCTGCCCCATTGTTCAGAACCCTACAAAGCTCCTCTTGTTCCCAGGCTCTGAGGGGGCTGGGGCTGTGTCTTTCCCCCACTGGGTCTTTGTCAGCTTCCCCTGTCCACCCCCATCCTGGAAAGCCTGATGAGAAAACATCTTGGATATAGGGCGCCCAGCCCCCGTATCCTCCCAAACACACACCCTCTTCTTCCTACCACGAGGAAGAGTGGCCCAGAGCCCAGACTGGGGTGACTACTCCAGGCCATACCCCCAGCTGGCTGGAGGGGACACCACATTCCGATGCGGCTCCTGATGACCATGCATGAGGTCCCCAGCAGGTCTCAACCCCCTCAAATCCTTAGTCCTCTCATAGGTGACATAAGTCAGCTAACTAGCCATGACCTAGGAGGAGCTGGACTCAGGGTCGGTCAGCAATCTTGCTGTCAAGTTCACTGAAGTTCCTATGGAGGGTCCTGGGGGGGTGTGTCTTTCTCCATGAGCCTGAATCTCCACTTGCCTCTTAAACTGGGTGGGCTTAAAAAGTCATTTTCCCTTCCTCCCCGAGCTTCCCTCATTCAGAACCAGGTGTGGCCAGCTTGAGCACAGCTCTTATCATGAGAAGGACTCAGAACCAGCTTGGGTGTGGGCTGAGCAGGTGCCGCTGAGGGTGACCCCCGTAAGGCCTGTTGTTTCCCTGACTGGAACTGTGGCTCGGGTCGCAGAGTGCCGAGGCTGGCATGTTCAGTGTCTGGCACACGGGAGTTATGCTCAGTTGTTGAATGAATGAGCTCAGTGAATGAATAACTCTTTGATCAGGGTTAACACAGAGGACACCCCAGGACCGACCCAGGAGCTGTGCACTCTCTAGTTTCACTGTAACTGGGGTCCAGGCAGGGCTGCAAAAACCCACTTTAAAGATGTGGAAACTGAAGTCTGGAGAGAATATCTCACTCCCCTAAGTAGTGAGAGAGCCACCGAAAACCCCAAACCTGTCCCAGGCTTTCAATTCTACTCCCTGGCTGGCTGCTTGCTCCTCCTTAGGCCTCCAGCCCTCCACTCACCAAGCAGACAGACAGGCACTCGCAGTGCCCAGGGATTCTCTCCCCTGACTGCGCCCACACCCCACTGCAAGTGTAGAGAGCTCTGCCCCCCACTCCCCACCCACCCTGGGGCCCCATTACCAGCCCACGAGAAGGGCAGCAATGCAGCTCCAGATGACACAGCCACCTCCTGGTGGGGGGCTCTTGGCCCCAGGGGGTTCCGGGGGCCTGCAGCAGCAGAAGCGGATGAGGTAGACGGCGATGAAGATGAGGCTCAGGCCCAAACCCAGCCCAGCCAAGGCTGCCACCAGCAGCAGGGCCTGAGGAGGAAGTGATGAGAAGCCTCAGCGAGCACTTTCGTGTCCCAGACAAGAAGTTCCTCCCCTGCTGCATGGATGGGGGCAAGGCCCAGTCCTTGATGGTGTTCAGGTTGTGGGAAAACATGAGATACCTATTCTCTCTCCTATTAACAGCTGAGGCCCATCCAGGATTTAGGGCTAGGTGGCTGGAGGCAGCATCCAAGTAGGGGACCCAGGTTTTGGGTTCCAGCCCTGGACAGTTCTTCCCAGGTTGTGTGGCCTCAAAAGGGCCCCTCCCCCTCTGAACCTTGGTTTCCTCCTCACTGCGACCAGTCAATGGGAAGGCAACACATCCCAAGGACTTCCTGAGGTTCCCTCTGAACTGTGGGGCAGGAAGGGGCAGGAAGGCGCCCATCTCCATACTTCAGGAGAGCAGGAGAGGCTGCCTTCTATACCGCCTCTCCCTCCTGCTGCTGAGCTGAGCTCACACACCCACCCTGTCTGTCACCCCAGGTCTGGGGCTGGGGACAGGGTGCTGTGACAGGTGTGTGTGTGTGTGTGTGTGTGTGTGTGTGTGTGTGTGTGTGTCTGGTGTGTGTGTGGTGTGACACATACACACAAGGCTCAGAGTCAAAGACAAGGAAGAGGGAAGGGGTAGAGATGAGACACACAAAACACCAGAGGGTTCAAACCAGAGTCAGGGGGGAGAGGGGGAGACAGAGAGACAGACAGAGAGGTGAAGAGACACATACAGACCAAGAACCATACAGAGAAAGAACTATAGAAGAAAGGAGACAGGTGGGGCAGTGTGTACTGAGACCCAAAGGATGGAGGGAAGGAAAGAGAGGCAAAGGGATGCTAACAGCTGGGAACACCTTGCAGAACAGAGTGGCTCTGAGCTGGGTACGGCACTACACCCCCTGTAACCCCAGCATTCTGGAGGCTACGGCAGGAAGATCGCCATATTTTCAGGCCATTCCCTGTTACATAAACTCCAGCCAGCCTGGACTACAGAGCGAGGCTGTGTCTCAGTCAATTATAGAACTGTGGGCTCTGCATGTGGTAGGGTCTTTCAGGAGACCTGTGTCACGTGTCTTCTCCGAGGCCCAGAGCTGGACAGGATTTACCTGGAGCCACACAGCAGGACAGGGGCAGTATGAGGTCTGGAATCACAGCCCCGCATTTCCAGGGACTACGGTCCCTAAACCATACATAGCCTAGCTCCCTGTCCTCCACATCACCTGTGGGAGTGACAAGTGTGCGCAGTGTTTATGTGGCTGTGAATTTGCCTTCCACCAGATGAGGGCACATGGAGTGTGAGTATAAGTGTTTGTGTATTATCATGCTTGCATGTCTGGGTGCAAGAGAATGCTTGTGGGCATTAATGTTTTCTGGACATAGCTTCTTCAATCAGTGAGGGGTGTTGGGTGGACTGTGTGAGTGTATGTGTGACTTGGGGTGAGTTTGAGTTTGTGTGTGTGTGGGGGGGTAGATGTGTATGTGTGTATGAGGGTGCCTGCATGTGTGGTGGTGTACACATGAGGGTGCTGTGTATATGTGACTGGGCATGTGATCCTGAAGGTCCTGTCCCAGAGTCCCTCCTAGTGTGTCATTTCTATGACGAAGAATGTCCCCGGGATGGGACTGTGTGTGCCCCAGCTTTGACTCCGACTGCTGAGGATCAGGTTGAGCAAACTGCTCTAAGCGTCTGTGGCGGTGCTGGGGGCCCACGGGGGAATCCTCGTGGCTGAGGAGCTCTCCAGAGCCATAAGCCCCGTGAGTCTGTTTGGGAGTGGGTGGACCCACCGGCTGGAGGCTGTGGTTGTGTAAGTGGCTGTGGGCGAGGGGATGGCGGTCCCCGTTTGGAGGGGAGAGGGGGCGGGTGTAGTAGGCAGGGAGGAGCCGCTCAGGCTGTGCCAGCCATGACCCAAATAGCAAGCACACAGCACACGTTCCCCCTTGCTGCTTTTCTGGGAACACCCCCCTCCCTCGAAGCTCTCCCAACCCTGTGCCCCTTTCCCAGAAGCCACCCTGAACAGCCGCAGAGGTTCAGACTTGGGGGGAGGGCAGGGCTGACTCCCAGCACCCCCCCCCCAAGGCCCCCAGCTCAGCCAAGCTTTTCTCATTAATCTCAAAGTCAAGGACTTGAATTAAACTGGGTCAGGGGACAGCCACCCCCCAACCCAGAGCTACAGCTGGGCCCCTTTCCCTGGGGACCCAGCTTCCGTGAGGTTCCACCACCAGCCTCACCCTCCTGGGACCCAGGCCTGTCGTCTTCAGTAGCCCCAAACCTAACCTCATCTCCACCCGATCCTCTCTGGCGCCCTGACAGCGTCTTCTGTCCTGGGACAGGCCGAAAGCACCCTGAATCCTTATCTCACCTCACCTCATTCCACAGCCCTAGCCCTAAAATCTCTCGTCCCTATTTGAGGATATCAATCCCTGTCCCAGACCTCAGCTGCCTCCCCAGCCTTCCCGCTCTCGGTCCTCTCTCTTGGGTACCCCCTTATCTGGGACATATTTACAAGCTGGGATCCTGTGGGGGCGGGGTCCTTCTCGCCTAGAACCTCAGGAGCAGATCTTTCCTTAGATGACCCTGGAGACTGGCTTCCAAGGCAGGTCTCAGGAACCCAAATGCTGGGGCCTCATCTCCTCCCATTTAGGACTCTTGGGGGTCCAGGCTCCTGACTTTCTCTTATTTCTGGAGAGAGGGTCTGCATCCCCAGCGCACGTCCGAGGGAGGAACCTTAAGGTATGAGCTCTCTACCGCCAATCTTGTTCTTGTACCCCCAAACGCAGGCCGGATCTCCAGCCCCCAAGACGCAGGAACTGTGACCCAGCCTCCTGCTCCCCGGGGACCTGGCCCCTGTTTGCCATCCCACCTGCTGGTACTCTTGGTCGCGGGGCGCAAAACCGCTGGGCACCGGTCGGAGCTGGAAGTCGGCGCGGGGCAGCTGGTGGAGGAGATGCACCCAGGCAGAGGGTCGGTAGCCCGGGGGTGCCCCCATGGCCCCGGGGTGGGGCAGCTGGGCGGACCGGGCTGGGAGCCTCGGTGCTGTGCGGGGCGCGGGCGGAGCGGGGTTTGCGGGGCTCCCGGGAGCAGGAGCCCAGAGGGCGGGGGGTGGAGATTGGGGAGGGGGAGGTGCGGCAGGTGCCTCGGTGCTGCCCCTGGCGGCCACCGGAGGCAATGCGGCGTGAGCAGTGGGCCCCGTTGCTCCGCCCTCTCCCGGGCTCCCACCTGCTGCCTGAGCAGGTGCAGGGTCTTTGCTCAAGTCAGTGGTATCCAGGGGCTGGGCTGTGCTGAGAACAAAATCGATTAGCCTTCCTTGTTCCCGGACGTGCAAGAGCCAGGATACTGTGATTTCTCTTTGAAGCACACAAGCTCTTTATCCTTACGTAAAACCTTCACCTTGGTGTAAAGGTCATTAGTATTTGAGCAGCATTTTGCAGATAGTAGCCAGGCGCGCCAATGAAAATTCCTCACTTTTCTAAATGCATTCTCTGTTGTAAAGAGTGCTTGTGCTTGGATAAAAGTCCTCTCCCCCCGCCCCCCACTTTGTCCTAATCTGTATACGGACCGTCTCTAGACAGAAACCTTCCTGTGTGGACAGACCCTTCCAGAATGTGTGGACATACCTGCATATGCTGTAAAGACTAATTGTAAGGACTCCGGTTATCCGTATAGGAACTCATCCCATCTGTATTAGGTGGCTTCCCAGGTCTTAGAAACTTCCTCCAAACTGCTTCAGTCTACACAGTGACCCTCGCCCCTTGCCATTCACTTTAAAGTTTACAAGGTATCTTCTAGACAAAATACTTGTTTGGGTCTCATAGGAAGTCACTGAAGTCACACAGATAGACGAGGAAGGGGATATAGAGACCCTGGAGGGGAACTGACCACCGTGACATCATCACCCAGGCCTTCACTGTGTGACCTAGAACTAACATTCCCAGGGTGCTACTCAAGGGTACCTCTTGGCGTGGAGAAGGGCTAGTCTTTGCCCCTGAAATACCCAGTAATGTTTCTTTCTGGTCAGGAATGAGATGGAGGTAGTAAAAGGTAATCTACCCATCCCATCCCTACATTTTGGTCCAGGTTGTTAGGAAAGGGGTAGCAACAGAAGAGAGAGGTGAGGGGGAGAGAGAGAGGATTGCTTCTCTGTCTGCCTCTCTCCTCCATTTACCTCCATCTCTGCCTCTTGAGTGTGTGGTTTGGTCCCAGAAGGCAGCCTCTTTGGGGAATTGCTTTAGCCTGTATTGATTCAACTCAAGACACCTGTCCTATTATATCAGAGACGTGTGGTACCTTCCGATATAGGTCTGTCGGCTTGACTTCCACCTAGCATTGTACCCTGTCTGTTTCATCAGGAAGAGATATGGAGGGATTATTCCCAGATGGTTCATGTGACATTCTAGAGTCCCCAGATGGGAACACCATTCCCAAATGACCTCGGGTTCCACAGGCGTTAATTCAGGCTGGGTGTAGAGAAGCTGGCTTTGACCACGTGGTCAGTGCCATTTAGTTTCAGCCAGTGCTGGCCATATGGGAAGAAGGACCCAGCCTCACCAGATGTTCCAAATTTCCAAACGAAGACAGAAATCTGGATATTTTTAAAGCAAAAATCCCTCAGCTTTTAAATGTTAAAATGAATTCAAATAAAAAAAAATGACTGTGTGGGCCAAATAAAACCTGTCTGTGGGCTGGTGCTGGCTGGTCTGCAAGCTCTGGTCTAGCCAGACGCTGTGCCTCACTGGCATGCAAGGGGCAAGCAGAGGAAGAGGGGGGCATGGTAATGCTGAGCCAGAGAAGTGGGAGAGAAGCCCGGGAGATGTAGTCATGTGCCTCCTCCAGGGAGCCCTCCTGCCCAGCCCTTCCTGACAGAAGGTGAGAGCAGGTCTCGGCTGAGAAACTCAACCTAGACTCTAGGAGCCTTGCTGGCTAACCAGGTTCCTGAAGATATCACACAGTTCTGCATCCTATTGCTGGCACATAGTAGGTCCTCACTAAATAGAATCAACTGTGATTCATTTTCCTACATGCCTCAAACACAGAACAGGGTGCCTGCTATGCATTCAGGCATTGCTTTGCGTCCTAAAGCAGATGACACAGTTTCCTATGGATAGTAGCTACCCAAGTTCATGTAATAGGTAAGGCAAAGGAGAAACAGACTGTAAGTAGTAACTTTAGAAAAAGGGGAAAATTTGCTGGGCGGTGGTGGCCACGCCTTTAATCCCAGCACTCGGGAAGCAGAGGCAGGCGGATCTCTGTGAGTTTAAGGCCAGCCTGGGATACAGAGTGAGTTCCAGGAAAGGCGCAAAGCTACACAGAAAAACCCTGTCTCGAAAAACAAAAAACACAAAAAAAGGGGGGGGGGATTTAAGTCAGTGTACCACAGAGATACCTACACATCTGTGCTTAGTGCATCACTATGTATAGTCGTCAAGCGACAGAATCAGCCTGGGTATCCATCAGCAGATGAATGGATAAAGAAAATGTGGTCTGTGTACACAAGGGAATCTTATAAAGTTGTAAAGAGGAATAAGTTATTGTTTGCAAGAAATTACATGGAACTGGAGATCATCTGTTTAAGTGAAATAAGCCAGACTTACAAGGACAATTATTGCATTTTTTCTGTCATATGTGGACCTAGATCATATTCATATATGTATGTATATATTTATGAATTAAAATACTATGAAACCCATTGCTGTGTACAATGAATAAATGCTAATGACCATTTAAATAAATACTGTATTTGAATGTGTGGTGGGAAGGAATGGTTGCCTATGGATACAGAAGACACTAGGGAAATGGCTCTTCCTGCATGTGGGTGACCTTCAAGCACAGACTCAAATGACTGACAGCTTGGACCAGGCCTCACAGCTGAGCTACCTGGTGTGAGTCCAGATGGCAGAGTGGTTAATTCTCTGTGCTAACTTGACTGGGTTGGGGGGGATATACACATTGCTGGCACAACCTCATTTCTTTATTCATGTTAGGTGTGTCTGAGAGCAGGTGTTGGAGATTAGATTCTAACCCATCACATAGATGTAAGAATTGTGTACCCCCAAATCTACTGAGGGTTAGGACAGAGTAAGTTCGCATTCTTTTCCACACCTGTAACATTCTCTTCTCCTGCCGAAGAACACTTAAGTACCTGATTCTCTGGCCTTCAAGGTGAAATCAACCTCTGGCTTCCCTGTGTTTCCAGAGAGGACATCAAATTGTGGGACTTCTCACTTGCATAGTTGTTTGAGTCAATTCTCATAATAAATTTCCTTCAATCTATTTTTGCATCTATGTATCTATCTATGTTGTATGTATGTATGTATGTATGTATGTGCATATCTATCTATCTATCTATCTATCTATCTATCTATCTATCTATCTATCTATCTATCTATCTATCTATTGTATCTATCTGTAGTGCTTTGAGCAATGTCCCCTCATAGGTTCATGGTCTTGAACACTTGGTCCCAGTTAGTGGTACTGTTTCGGGGAGGTTCTGGAACTTTTAGTAAGTGGTGCCTTGTTGGAGGAAGTACATCACAGGGGCCAGACATTGATGAGAGTTTTTGCCTCATGCAACTTTCAGTTTGCTGTCTCTGTTTCAGGCTTGCAGTTGAAATGTGGTCTCTCAGCTTCCTGCCCCAGCCTCCTGCTGCTGTGCATCCCTGCCCCCTGCAACGTTATAGTTTCTCCCTCTAGAATCCCAAGCTCAAACCACTTTTTCCTTCTGTAAGTTGCCTTGGACATGGCATTTTATCACAACAACAAATGTAACTAATACAGAACTTGGTACCAGGAATGGGGTCTGTCTCTCTACCTATTTCTGTGTCTATCTATCTACCTATACATCCATCACTCATTCATGTCATTTGTGCTATTTCTTTTCAGAACTCCTACACCTGGACCTGGCAAGTCTACTCTTACGTATTTATTTATTTATTTAGGAAAAATGAGGACATCCATCTGCCATAAGAACTATAAAAGAGTGTCCAAAGCAGCTATATTTGTAATAATCCAGGGCTGGAGACAGCTTGCATGTCTATCCACAGTGGATGACATGGCACCCATACCTAGCACTATTAAAGGGGTCAAGAATCTGTGCTAGATAGGTCATAGACCCCAAAAGAAAATCCCATAATGTTCTGACAAATGGACATAATATTAACACAATGATTTATTACCACACGTAGATCAGAGAACCTCTCATCTCTCATCAGAGAAGCTTCTTCTTGCAGTAGATAGCAATTAACATAGAAACCCTCAACTGGTCACTGTGCAGAGAGCAATATACTGTGGATGTTCATATTACACTCCTCCTTCAAAGGCTCAGGGGTCTTTTCAGAAGAGGCAGGAAAATTGTTAAGAGCCAGATGTGGTGAATAACTTAAGTAAATGTTGTTCCCCAGACACAATATGGCAGATGAACTTATGAATTCATGGAGATTGTGACATCATGAATGAAACCTGTTAGAGCTCCAGCCAGACAAGATCCCAGTGTAGAAGAGGGAATGTTGCCACCACTCATTGAGGAGCTATTGACATTTCATGGCTGCTAAGAGAAGGAGAGTCCATTTTCTTTAATGAGGTGGCCCCTGACAAGCTGACCATACACTACAACAAGCCTCCATTCAAAGACTAGATGGACAACACAAACTCCCCAGCCCCAAAGAATGGGCTGAACTTACTGACTCCTCTCTAAAGTATACAGTTTTGGAAAGGAGAAATGAAAAGAAATAACTTTAAAGTTGAGAAACTTGACAAGTGCTTTCGCAACCAGTGACCCAGGTCAATGTCACCAGTCATTAAGATAGCGGCTCCATGTCTGTGGTGGCGCTGTTTTGGGGTGTGCTTAGCCTTGGGGGAAATATGTCTCTGGTAAGCTATGGAAGATTGGTGGTCCATCTCTAATATCAGGTCTTGGGAGGCAGAGACAGGGGATCTCTGGGAATAGGTAGCTAACAAAGTCTTCAAAGTCTGTGTGAAGTGAGAGACCCTGCCTCAATAAAGTGAAGAGAGATAGAGGAAGATAACTGTTGTCAACCCTGACATGTATGTGCACATTCATGCGCAAGAACCCTCACATATGTGAACATATGTACAGACATTC